AAAAAAAAAAAAAAAAAAAAAGAATAAATACATGATTTTTTTAGAAATACATTCTGGATTTTTTTGGTCTCCCCTCATATGTGTATTATACTGAAACTATAACTTTTATTTTTTAAAAAAGCAAAAAAAATCATCATCATCAAAGGATGAGAAGAATGGGTAAAGGGAAATGGGTAAAGGGAAAGGTAAAAACAAAACAGAGTCCAGAGAGGCACAAGGGAAGGGACAGAGCTGCACAACAGGAAAACAGAAACAGTAGTGGTAAAGCTTTATCCCCAGCAGTGAAATTGCAGGGAGAGGGCTACTAACGGTAGTGAAGGGGGCCCACTGAGGAGACAAATAAAAATTATTTATTCATTATGATTTGGCCCAGGGGCAACACTATCCAGCCAAGGAATCCAGTTTAATCCCTGTTCTGTATGTCTGGTGGATATCAAGAAGGAAAACCCATGTTCTGACTCAGAAGTTGAGCAGCAAGCTAAAGCAAGGACTAACCATACACAATCGCTTGAGATAATAGGTAAGGCTGAATGGAAGAATGTGGAACTGTGAACCACAGTTACCAGGTACGAAGCTCAGACATTTCACTGGGGCCCATTCAAGGTAGCCTGGGCTGGAGGCTGGAAGGGGCGGGAGGCAGCACCTGGTGCAGGGAACCTTCTTTTTAACGAAAGGAAGTCCTTAGGGATTGGGAGAAGACCCAAAGACAGAAATGGGGGTAATAAGGGTGGATGTTAGAGAGGCTGTTTCTAAAGGAAAAGAGGCATGCCTGGGAGGCATTTTTAAAAAGGGGAAAAATCAGGAATATTCAGAAGAGATGGAGGAAAAAAACACATCAAGAAGAAGAGAGATGTAAAGGGACATCGTCAGGCTGGGCTCGATGGCTCAGTCTGTAATCCCAGCACTTTGGGAGCCCAAGGCGAGTGGATTGCCTGAGCCAGCCAGTTCGAGACCAGCTCGGGAAATTTGGTGACACCTTCTCTCTACAATAAATCAAAAAAATTAACCAGGCATAGTAGCATGTGCCTGTAGTTCCGGCTACTTGGAAGACTGAGGCAGAAGGATCGCTGGAGCCCAGCAGGTCGACACTGGGGTGGCCATGAGCAAGCCACTGCACTCCAGCCTCAGCGACAGAGTGAGACTCTAACTCAAAAAAAAAGAGAGAGAGGGAGAGAGAGACCATCAACAGAAACAGAGGCAAAAGCAGACAGGTAGAACCAAGGGAAAAGCTAAGAAGTAAAACGAGAGTGAAAGAAACAAGTAGAATGAGGATGGCAGTAGGAAGAGTGTCAGCAGATGTGCACAGCTGTCTGCTATGTGTAAATTTTATCAGCTTTGTGTTTAGGACCTGGAATAACCCGCAGGTCACACGCATTCAAGGAACAGACCAGGGCCTTGAGTTAACTTAGCTCTCCAGGTCTTCCTAGTGCTCTTATTATGGGATATCCTGGTGCATGGACTCCTTGGTCATACCTTGAGACTGTTAACAGGTTTTACTCCTTTGTATAGTCATCAGCAGTGAGGACTCTGAAGGATCCACTGAGGAAGACGAGCCCCTGGTAATATCTGCTGCAGCACTGACAAGTGTGCCTGGTAAGAAAGGTTGGAGGAGCAAAGCTTAGAATGTGGGAATCTGAATTAAGAGCTACTGTTTTCTGATGCATTTTATTCTCAACTCATTTTGTACAAAGGACCCAGTTTATCCTAGAATCCCATTCTCTGCATTTATTTTACTTGATTTTGGGGAGGAAAAGCAGGGAGAGAAGAAAATGTTAAAATTTTATTATTGAGGATTAGGCTTATTTATTGATGGATTCTATTAATCAATATTATGTACCCATACAAACAAGGTGGTGTTTGTTTTTAAAACTAACTAGTTGCTGTGCCTATAAAGTATTAGGTTTATACAGTGATTTCTATAGATAACAGAAAATTAAATATCCCTTTATTGGGAAATCATATTGTTATCTGATCACAAATTTTAAACAGTGACAAAGGACAATTCATCCAACTATTTAGTGTTAGAAAGACTTCTGGAACCTGAAGTGTTTTTGACAGATTTCTTCAGCAAGTCATGGCATATACAATGATTTTTCAGAAGATTTTTGCAAATAATATCTTACTTTTTTCTTTACAACAACCTTAAAGTATAAGCAGGAGAGACATTGTTGTTCTTGTTTCCCAGTTGGGAAAACACAATACCGTAAATGTTCCAAAGATCATCTACAAAGTCTCATGGAAAATTAAAGAAAAGACAAGACTAACATCCTGGATTCTAAGTTATTTCCTTTGTAAAATGGGAAATAGAAACAATTATAAAGATGCTGTATTATCTCAATTCTATTTGTAGCATGAATTCTTATAAGAAGATTTATAACTTTTTGGTGTATAAATTGGTGATTTGTTTTCCCTTTTTACTTTTTAGATCCAGAGGATGTTAGAAATGTGTCACTTTAGGAAAAGACTTAAAGAGCAAATTAAAATGTTGCCTTATCCATATGTTATAAAAGAACAACGTGTTAAATAATACATTCAATCTAATTGCTCACTCTACCTTTAAAGTAAAATGTCAATTTGCTTCAGTTTTTAGACAGTATATACTTTTACTTTGATCTTGGTGTAAGCAATCTGCTGTAAAAAACAGTCCCAAAATATGTCTGTGGTTCAAACACCAGAGATAATTACTTCTCAGTCTTGTAAGTAGTTCAAGGAAATACCAGGTTGGTGGGAGAAGGGGAGTAAAGGAGGTTCACCGTTGTCAACATAAGATCTTCAAAGTCTCCCTGCATGAAAAACAAAAGCAAAGACAAAGGAAATGTCGAATAACAAGTAGAAGGAGTAAGAAGTAAAGGAGAGAAGTATAGGAAGGCAAAGGTCGAGCAAACCAAAGTTGCTACTTGCCAGTGAAATGTCTCTGCCTTTGAGGACAAGACTGGGGCATCCCTAACCTGCAAAGCAGGCAAATTAGAATGAAAGACCAAGCCAGGCTCGGTGGCTCAACCTGTAATCCCAGCGCTTTGGGAGGCTAAGGTGAGTGGATTGCCTGAGCCCTCGGGTTCGAGACCCGCCTGGG